AAAACAATGATTTCGTGGTAGGACGATAATGAAGAGGAACCAGGCCATTCTCCCCTCTATCCTGGTCGAAAGAATACTTACTCTGGCCTGAAGCGACCCTTCCTCCTATGAATTTATGATCTGTATTCATAGTTCATATTTCACTGGAATGCACTGCGCCCAGGTCAATGGTTGTTTACGGCTAGTATCAACCTGATCAGCTGGGCATCCATTCTCTTTGGTTGGTGCCTATTATGGACACACCCTAAGGGGACCCCCTACCCCATGAGTCCTTTATAATCCCCCGCCCACTTTGAGTGACTGCAGGACCTATGACCTGCTTCAAACTAACAGAGTAGGACAAAGGTGATGGGATCTCACACCTAGGACTCCTGATGACTTTGCAGAAGCCTTCTGTCATGAGAGGATCAATGGGGAAGGCCACCAGTGTGGAGCTGTGTGTGGCCCCCATGGAGCTGAAAGAGGCTCCCCAGTCAAGAGGTGGAAAAAATACAGGGTCCTGAGTCCCAACATGGCAAGGAAATGAATTCTGCCAACAACCGGAATGAGCCTGAAAGAAGATTTTTCCGTAGTTGAGCCTCCAAATGAGAACACGGTCTGGCTGATGTCATGAGACCCTGAGCAGAGGACCCAGCCCAGCTGTGCCAGGACTCCTGACCCCTGGGGACTGTGAGTGAATGACCATGCTTTGTTTTAAGCCCCTACATTTGTGATCTTTTGTTGCACAGCCAAAGAGAACTAATTCAACACATATGCCATGCCAAGAGTTGAATAATTGGTTATCACCACTACTTGTTTCACTGCGCAATCAGCTATACACTTCTGCATGATGCAGAAACACTAGACCTAGCGTTGTAACTATAGCTTCCAGCAAGTGTGACTTTTCCTAACTAGCTTTAAGTCTCTTGAGGCCAAGAACTCTGCTTTTGTACTTTTTAAAAGATTTTGTTTATTTGAGAGAGAGAGAGTGCGCACGCAAGCCCTTGAGCAGGGGAAGGGGCAGAGAACGAGGGAGAAGCAGGCTCTCCACTGAGCAGGGAGCCTGATGCGGGACTCGATCCCAGGATCCTGGGATCATGACCTGAGCCGAAGGCAGACACTCACTCAACTGAGCCACCCAAGCGCCCCTCTGCTCTCAGACTTCTTAAAAAGCTCCACAGCATATCAAAGTAATTGACACACAGTAAGTACACAGGCATGTGATTTGAGTTTTTGACCCTTCATTTGTCTAATGAAACCAAATGGGTCTAAAGACATAGAGACATGAGGCAAACTTGCACTGCACCCCTGCTGCATACTAGGTGAGAGCCCAGACATGCAGAGAACAAGACAAAAGTCTTGGCCTCAATTTGTTCATGGTTCAACCCCATCAGTGGGGTCTTGGAACCTCATCTTCTCACCATGCAGAATCAGATGCCCAAAGATCCCTAGAGTTCTTTGTCAGTCTGTCAAGATTATGATTCTGCAGATCAGGTAGAGGTGTAGCTGTAAAGAACCTCAGTGACTTTTTAGTGACTTTTTAGTTTGCCAGTAGAAGCAAAAGTCCCCTGAGGTGCCCATTTTCCATTTAAACGGGGAGTAAGCCACAAAGATAAATGCGCAAACTCCGCCCTTCCATAATAGCCCATCAGTCCCTCAACTCTGTGACTCCGAGTGGACATACCCATATTCAAGCAGACCAGAGATCAAAGCCACATTAGGCATGAGCTACTTTTTATTCATAGACTTACAGAATATATCGAATTAAGAGGCATGTTTTTTGTTAACTGTATTTACCAAAAAAGAGCTAAATACATATCCAGCCTTAAAATGCATCCATTGTAGCTTGCATACTGCAAAATTTGCTTTCATATACATATAAACTATTCTTATTTTACCTAAGTTATGCATCTAAGATACATAAAAATGGTACCAAATGGCATATTGGCTTATTTTATCACAGTTTTTATACATTCTTGATAGTCAAAGGGATTGATAGGGAATGCATAGTTTCCTACTAGAAAAAAAGGTAGATTCTGATACAAGTAATGGAATAACGTTAAGGATAAGAGCGCCTCGCTAGGTTTAGATCTCAGTAGTTTTACAACACAATTCTTATTTCAATTAGCATTACAATGGGCTCTCTTCATTAATAATTGGCTGTTAATTTGCCTAGTCGGTCCACCCTCTACTTGCCTGGCTGAGGCAAAGGAAATCATGATGACCTTTTTTTCTTCCAGTTTATTGCTACTTTCCCAAAAGAGTTTCCTCCACAGCCATCTGCCCTGCTTTTCTGCCCATTCCCTTTAGACTGTCCTAAGTCTGGACCACCTTACTCACCGCGTCAACAACTAGATTATTGCATTCCACTCTAGAGCCCTGCTCAACAGAATCTTTGGCCACTGCCTAATTAAAGAACTCTCTTCCAAAACTGCGGAGCAGAGGGGCTGACACCTTTTTGGAAGAATCAGGAAGCTGGCTAAAGAGATTTTCTTTAGGTGGCATGCAAATAGACTCCCCTCCTGCAGACCTTCATCTCTCTTTCATTACACCCCGGGTCAGAGAAATTTCCATCGTGAGTGTTCCTGGCAGCCAAACCTCCAGCATCCCACGCTGATTTCTTTCCTAAAAATACACAGCCTCTCAATCCATGGGGAAGAAAAATGCAACACTGGCATTTTCAGCGTGCTCCCTGAAGGCTGATTATGACCCGGAGCAATTCATCATCACTCGTGCATTCGAGTTTTTAGTTGTTCCCTGATAGAACTCTCTTGTTTATCTTGTGGACGTTGTGACAAGAACCAGATGTGTCTCGACCTCAACATCGCCCCACCGCTATTGGGGGGTGGGGGGGGGGAATGTGTGGAGAAGCAACCCTGTCAGCTAGAAATCCTCTTTAGAACAGAACATTATCTGAAACTTCTGGAAGACTTTCAAGAGTGGGGCCTCACGAGTAATAGCGATCCCGTAGAGTTTAATTGTTAAAGGGACCAGCTGATGAGATGGTGTCTATTCAACACTATTTTCCTTCTGGCTACGCATATTTTGTTGTATTTTTTATTTTATCTCAAGGTGCTGCTATATTCTGAATTATGAGAAAAAGTCTTCATTTGGAAGGCAATGGCAGAGTGTCACAAAGAAAATACAAAGCCCGCTGTGCAGGACAAAGCTCTGCTTTTGCCTCACTACCGGATGATCTCGAGCAGGCGACTGACTTAGATTTTTTACGCCGATTTCATTCTCCTGAAATTAGAATACCTGCCCACCAATAAACTGAACTATTTATGAACAAATGAGATGAACACAAATGTACACTGAAAGAACATAAAGCTTTGCCGAAATGCAGGGTGGGCTTATTATCCGTTGCCTGAGAACACCCTGCCGTTCACACCAAAGGCTCGTTTTTAGTCTTCGTGAGAGATCGGTTCCTGATCCCACGCTTTAAGGCTGTGTGGCATGGCCCCTTGGCTACGTGGGGGGGCTCAGCCCTAGCCACAGAGACTGTAAAGAAGAAACAAGCTAGCAAGAAGGCAACCCTGGGGTGAAGGGAAAGGAATGGACAAGAGCAGTCCTTCCCAGAACTTGCTCCACAGGGGATGGTCCCACGTGTCTCTCTGCCTTGGGTTTCTGTTGTTGTTGTTGGGGTTTTTTGGGTTTTTTGTTGTTGTTGTTGTTGTTGTTGTTTTGTCTTACATTATTACTGGGAAAAAGCTTCTTGCAGAAATTGTTTAAAACTGGAGGGATTCTTGGGATGGAGCAGTGAGATTAATGAAGCAAAGCTTCCACCACCTCGCGCCAAGAACACCTACGCTCCTTTAGCAAGCCGGCCAGAACAAATACCTCCTCCCTCGGTGCGGAGACTCTTGGAGGCTGCAGACTCTGATCTTGTCTAATTTCTTAAGAAGGAAAAGTGAACCTGGCTGCAGCCGCGTGGACTACCCGCCCTCTTGCCCTCACCTTGCCTCCAGTTCCTTAGATCTTTCTTCCACTGGCCAATGTCTCCCCTGGACTCGGCAAGCACCCCGTCCCCAGCCCCGCACCCCGGGCTTCCCGGTTTCCCAGATTCATTCTCGGCAATGGTGAATGCCAACGGTTTCCCCAGCCACCTCCCCCCTCAGAGAGGGGAAGCTGCGGAGCCGGTGTCCGGTTCCCCAGGGGCAGCCTTGCAAAAAGATGCCCCGGTTGCCTTCTCAGCAAGTGGCTGGACTCAGGAACATCATTTCGAGCTCGCACAGGTGCTAGGGCTGCCGAAATGTCCCCTACCTTGTTTGCCAAGGGCCTGTTTTTCCACCCAGGCTTGTCTGAGGGGTTCCACGTGCCAGAAAGAATTGCTTGCCCATCTCAACAGCCAGAGGAATAGCAGAGCTGTGCCACTTTCAGCCGCCGATGATGCGGGGATCTGGGCATTTGCAGTCAATGCAAATTAGCCAGGAAGGCAAAAGAACGTGGAAGGGTGATTTTGATGCTTCAAACATGAGAACAAACCACTTTTTTCCTGTCTGGCTGGTGCCTAGTAGGAAAGCTTCAAGCAGGAACGCTCTACTCTGTGTGGGTGACCGAGTCCTTTAAAATCCCCAGTGTCCTAGGCTGGAAGCCCTCAGTCTGCAGTCCCGAATGGAGCCAGCATTGAGGCTACTCATTGCCTTGATCTGCACCACTTCAACCAGAAACAACACCGTGCTCAGATCTGCCGCAAAACATCTACCTACTCATGACTTGGCAAATGATCATTAACTCTCCAGTACAACATGACTGTGCTGGTCTGGGGGCCACCAGAGACGCTGGTGGGTGGCTCCGTGAGAGCCACTCCTAAGATCCACTTCAAGAGAACCAGCTAATGAGGCATCCACTGGGAAGCTTCCACAAAACCAGACCCCATGGGCTTCCCAATAGTCCACACCAGAGAAGGCCAGTTTGAAATAGACCCTCTGGCCCCCTGAGCGCAGACCTGGTCTGTGGGATGCAGTGTGTCTAGCTCCAAAGCTGGTCCCCAGTGATCAGCACAAGCCCGCCCCCGCCCCCCGCCCCAGCCTATTCAGGATGAGCCCCCTGCCAGTACGTGGTCCCATGTCAGGGTGTGAGCCCCAGGGGGTTCTCCTCGGCTAAACTACCGGGAAAGGAAGGGGCACCAGCGTCAGGAGCACCCTGGGTTCTGCAATGTGGTGCCCCAGCCTGTCCGCGTTGGCAGCGGGGGCAACAGCCCATCAACAAAGCAGGACCGACGAAGGAGTAGGGAGGAAGGCAGGGAGGCAGGAAGGTAGGCTGGTACTCAATGACTCGAAACAGGAAGCTGCCCAGAGGGCACAGACATGCACAAATCAAAGGGCCACCTCTAGGTTTCAAAGTATAGCGAGACTTGTGTAAAGTCCTCTTTGATCCCACAAAATCTTGCTTCAGAAATTCTACCGAACGCTCATCAGCTGGAAAGCCCTGTTCTATTGCTTTAAAGGATGGATGAAAAGCACCGTTCAGTCTTTGGCCTGTCTGCTGGTTACCCACAAACTCAAAGAATGGGTTCAGGGAAGCAGCCGAGTCATGGAGGGCATCTAAAAGCAATATTGCTCCAGGCGCCACAAGGTCGGCTCTGAACCACAAGGAAGAGGGGAAACCGCCTTTGTCTCACTCATGGGCCTATGGCCCGTGCTGGGCCTGGAAGTGTGTCAGCAGAGTATTTTCTTTGTGGCAAAGGAAGCAATGCCCAACGTTATTTTGTGAACACCCCCCATCACGAGCATCCACCCGAGCCAATGAAACAGCCAACGTTCTGCTATGAAGGGGCATTCAGGAAACTGAAATGACTCAAAATAGCATTGCTGAGTGTTATCAGATTTTTAAATGAATCATCAGCAAATTTTTTCAGCTGACTTTGGCTTTAAGCATTCTTACCCAATAAGATTGCTAAAATGGAATGAGAAGGGCCCATAGTTTGGTCTTTTTTTTTTTTTTTTTAATTTCATCATAAGAACTGTCCCATCTTATCCGATTTCCTCCTTCCTCATTAAAAAAAAAAAAGAAAAGAAAAGAAAAAGAAAAAAGCACATTACTTCCCTAGATGGTAAGAGTTAATACTCTACTCTTTTCTCAGAGATAACAGGCTTTAAGATGTCTTTTGAAATGGGAGAATGGACATGTCATGCAGTTAGCCAATAAATGCAATCCCTGATTGAAATGCGAGTTCTAAAATGTTGAAAACTTCTATTTCCCCAGTGCGTTTTTAATTGCGGAGCTCTGAACTTGGCCTTCTGTTTGCTTCTCAGGCCTCTCTTGTGAAAGCTAGTGCTATGTGTCTCTAAATTCACCAGTCACCCCTTCACAAACTTAAGTCAACGACTATATGTTCAAAAATCTTTGTTTTCCCTTTGAAACTGGATGCAAAAAAGAAATCTCTCCTGTCAGTGGAGACAGCTGTGAAGGAACGAGGTGCCTGCACATAAATCTCCTTGAATTTTTTGAATAGCTGCTTTTCTTTATCCCACTGGTAGATCTGGGAGAATGTATAGTCACTCCCCAGGGCCAGGTAGTGATTATCTTTAAAAGAAAAGGGCTGCAGGGTCATGGCCCCCCGGGATGGAAGAGCCTGGATCTCCACAAACTGCTTACTATTCCACCTCATGACCCTGGAGTCCCCGATGAAGCGGGTGAGGGAAAGGTAGAGGGCATTCTGCATCCTAAAGCTCTTCACGGCCAGTACATCCTCCATGTTGGGGATATCACTGTGGGGGACAAACTTCTTAGAGCTTTTATTCCACTGGAGGATAATGGGGACCTGGGAGCGGCTGGACAGAATCAGATGCGACTTCCCGTCTATGTCAACAAATTCTGCATCCGTGTCCCTGAACCACTCATGCAGAGATTGGTAGGAGTAGAACCCTTTGCTGTTCCATTTATACACCGTGGACAGACCAGCTTTAGAGCTGTCTGCGATGATGAAGAACGTCTCATCCTCGATCTGAAACAGCTCGATATCGTTGGGCTTTGAGATGCGAGAGACTTCGATGTCCTGGAATTTGACAAACTTGGTCCAGCTCTCATCGTATTTGTAGATGTGAGAGCCGCCGAAGAGCTGGGCCACCACCACGAAAACCTGGTCGTCGATGAGGATGGCCTTACAGCCCACAATGGACTGACCTGTGCCCCAAGAGAAACGAGAGGGCATTAGGGTACCGCAGGGAGAAATGTTCCTCCGTAGTGATATTGGAACCCTCGTGAGCTGGAAAATGGGGACAGATGTAAAGAAATGTGAGAAAATGGGGCAGCTGATGCATGGAACAGCACGGCAGCTTCTCGACAGTCTGAACATAGAAATACCATATGATCCAGCAGTTCCACTTCCAGGTCCATACCCAAAAGTACAGAAAGCAGGGTCTCTACGAGATGTGCACACGCATGTTCATAACAGCATTATTCACAATAGCCAAAAGGTAGAAGCAACTCTAGTGTCCACTGATGGATGAATGGATAACCCAAATGTGGTGTAGACACACAACGGAACGTTGCTCAGCCTTAAAAAGGAAGGAGATCCTCACACAGGACACATGACAGTATGGATGAACGTTGAGGGCATTATCGTAAGTGAAATAAAGGTAGTCACAAAAAGATAAATAATATCTGACTCCACTTACATGAGGTCCCTAAAGCAGTCAGATTCTGAGAGGCAGAAAATAGAATGATGGGGGCCAGGGGCTGGGGGAGGATGGGGAGTTAGTGTTTACTGGATATAGAGTTTTAGTTTTTCAAGATGAAAAGAGTTGCGGAAATTGTTTGTACAACACCGTGAATGCACTTAACGTTACTGAACAGTACACTTAAAAATGGTTAAGATGGTAAGTTTTATGTTCTGCAGATTTCCCCACAATTAAAACATTTTTAAGGGCGCCTGGGTGGCTCAGTTGGTTAAGCGACTGCCTTCGGCTCAGGTCATGATCCTGGAGGCCCGGGATCGAGTCCCGTGTCGGGCTCCCTGCTCGGCAGGGAGTCTGCTTCTCCCTCTGCCCCTCCCCCCTCTCATGCTCGCTCTATCTCATTCTCTCTCTCAAATAAATAAATAAAATCTTTAAAAAAAAATTTTTTTTAAAAACTTAAAAAACAAAATGTGTCTCCATTAAGGGCTGGTCTCCTGGCCACTGGTATCTTTAGAGGCAAGAGTACTATTCAGGGAAGGCACCAACACCAAGGGAATTGTCTCCAATTTATTCAAAAAAGTATTTCCCAACTCCGGACAGTGGAATGAGACAAATGGGCTTCTGTTCGGGGCATGGGGGTAAGGGAGGGTAAAAAGGTAGGAGTCAGGTCTCAGAGACAGGAGGAAAAGAATGTAATGAAGACATTTGGCTCCTTCTGATTTCTGGAGCCAAAGGAAGCTGAACGGAGGCAGAGACAGAACAGAGGAGTGTTAAGCCCTCTGTCAAAATTACTTGTACTGCAAAGTTGAAATAATACTTAATGTCTTGATATATTTCCTTAATCGTTACTCTACACACATACTCAAATGTGTTTTTTAAAAATAAATTTGGGGGTGGGCGCCTGGGTGGCTCAGTTTGTTAAGCAACTGCCTTCGGCTCAGGGATGATCCTGGAGTCCCGGGATCGAGTCCCACATCGGGCTCCCTGTTAGCAGGGAGTCTGCTTCTCCCTCTGACCCTCCCCCCTCTCATGTACTCTCTCATTCTCTCTCTCACAAATAAATAAAATCTTAAAAAAAATTTAAAAAATAAAAAATAAATAAAATAAAAATAAATTTGGGGGCACCTGGGTGGCTCAGTTGGTGTTTTTAGAACAGAGCACCCACAAACAGGAAGTGGTCAACAATTAGTAGCTGTCATTACTGGATAATTGAAACGATTGTCTTGACCTCACCCCTCTAAAATCTCCCATAGCAGGCACCGCGTAAGTACCTGAAGAATGGTCAATGGCGTGAATGATCTAGCTCAGGCGGCCCAGAACCGGAACTCTGCTGGAAAAGGGGAAGTCTTCCGTCTGGACCACCTCCTACAGTCTTCTCCCACACTGCACGCGGACCCCCAGACTGCCCCCCTCAGCCTCCTCAGCCAGCCAGCAATGGACCACCCACATCCCAAAGAGGATTGACCCTCCATCTAGGTCACTGGATTAAAAGTTATTTCTTCCCCCTGATTTTCTAGGCGATTGGACCAAAGTGAACTTAGTCTGTAAATTACAAGGATAATTATCCAATTCCTGTCCTCAGTATTAACTTTGGGGGCAGCCAGTGGGTAGTTTTTCGAGTGATACTTACTTTTCTCTTTCACTATTTTGGCCTTCTTGCAAGAACTTGGTTCCTTTCTTTTGTTTTAAACAAATTATTTTGTTTAAACTAATTATTCCTTTTTCTTTTCTGAGTATAAAAGTTTTCAATGTTCCCCAAAGCAAATTTTAAAAATAATAGGTAACAGGGGCGCCTGGGTGGCTCAGTCAGTTGGGCTTCTGCCTTCGGTTCAGGTCATGATCCCGGGGTCCTGGGATCGAGCCCCGCGTCGGGCTCCCTGCTCAGCGGGGAGTCTGCTTCTCCCTCTCCCACTCCCCCCTGCTTGTGTTCCCTCTCTCGCTGTGTCTCTCTCTGTCAAATAAATAAAATCTTTTAAAAATCTTTAAAAAAATAATAATAATAGGTAACAATTATAGTGTGTACTATGACCGAGAACTACACTAAGCATTTTACATGTATTCACTCATTTAATCCTTAACACAACCCAAGAAGACCAATACTATCATCAGCAGCATCATCCCCATTTTATAAAGGGTAAAACTGAGGCACAGAGAAGTGAAGTAACTTATACAGCTAGTATGTGGTAGAGCCTGGGACCTAAATCCGGGTAGTCTGGCTCCAGTCTACACTCAGCTATGAACATATCAAAAAGCACCAAGAAGAAAATCAAAATTACTTGTACTGCAAAGTTGAAATAACACTTAACGTCTTGATATATTTCCTTAATCGTTACTCTAAACGTTAAATGTGTTTTTTAAAAATAAATTTGGTGGGGGGGGGGCACCTGGGTGGCTCAGTCGTTAAGCGTCTGCCTTCGGCTCAGGTCATGATCCCGGGGTCCTGGGATCGAGTCCCACATCAGGCTCCCTGCTCGGCAGGAAGCCTGCTTCTCCCTCTCCCACTCCCCTTGCTTGTGTTCCCTCTCTCACTGTGTCTCTCTGTGTCAAATAAATAAATAAAATCTTAAAAAAAAAATAAAAAATAAAAATAAAAATAAATTTGGGGGGCACCTGGGTGGCTCAGTTGGTTAAGCGTCTGCCTTCGGCTCAGGTCATGGACCCGGGGTCATGGGGTCGAGCTCTGCATGGGGCTCCCTGTTCTGCTTGTCCCTCTCCCTCTGACCACCCCTCCCCCCAGCTCATGCTCTCTGTCTCTCCAAAAAAGAAACAAAAATCTTTAAAAATAAATAAACAAATGAATTTGGGCTTATAGGATACATGAGCTTTTTACAACCTACCTTTTTTTTTTTATTTGACCATGACACTGTGAACATTTTCCCCTGCTACTGCACCTTCTACAACCTGAATTTTAAATACTATAAGGTATTGCACTGTACGGATTTTTAACAAATCCCCTATTGTTGGACATTGCAGTTATTTCTAGCTTTTCATTATTTTGAGTAACATGCTTCCTTGTAGAGCAGTCTTTTTTGAAAACCATCTGGCAGTGTTCTTAAATGTAGGTATTGCTGGGGTAAACGCTGTGCACACTTTGAAGGCTTCTGGATTTAAACTACCAAACTGGTCTTTGGAAGCTCTACTAACCCCCTCCTGCCAACGCTAACTGTGGGTGCATTCTCTGGGTCCCCTTCCTGAGTGGCCTAGCTAGGGAGGTCCCTGCCACCTGGGAGTGTCCTTCAGGTCTGCCTGCCTGCCTGTCTCCGCTGAGGGGCTGTGTAAGACAGAAAGAATTCCTTCTTTGGACATGTTCCAGAATACCTTCATCCAGCTAAACACTTTTAGTCTATTGAATGGTCAATAGCCGTAGAGATCAGTGTGTGTGTTTGTGTGTGTGTGTGTGTTTTAATATAGGAAGAGAGACTGCAGGCTGGAACATACCTGGCATGGAGAAATCAAAGGCAAACAAAATAAACCAAAAACAGGAGAGCTGAGAAGAGATGTAGAGGAACAAAAGGAGAAGATAGGAAGTGCAAAGCCTTGGGGTGACCCTGATCGTGGCATTCCCTCTCCTCCCAAAAGCGGATGTATGGCTGGGGATGCCCCTTCAGCACCATGCTCACCAGGATGGCAAAGGAAGACTGCATGCACATGCCCCTTCCATGGCTCAGAGCCCCAGTCTCGCCGGGAATGGATTGAGAAACCCCTGCCCAGCCCTTGCAGACTCTAGGATCACTCCGTGATCAAGCAAGATGACAAATGAGACACACATAGCCCATGCGCAGAGAACGGATCCGTGTTTACACTGGTCTCGTTCAAGGCAAGTGGTTGCAGGGCTGCGCCCTTGCTTGTCCATTTGGCATCTGCCTGGCACGTGTGTGCCTTGGGCTTTCCTCCACACTGAGCTCAATCCCAGCTAGCCACACTCTCTCCTGCGCTGAGGGATCCATGTGACTTCTGAACCACCCCCTTCCCCTGCTCCCTTGGGACTTCCATGCTGGCCCCTCCTTTCCTGCGCTGATGAGAGTTACGGAGTTTACCTGAAGTGAGAAATTTTAGGGTCTGGGAGGGAGGAGAAGGAGGGCTGCTCCTTTTTTTATCCCCAGATGATAAAACTGACATTTGTTGAGGATTTACTATATGCCCGGCTCTGGGCAAAGTGTTACACACACGATCCCCATTAAATTCTCATGGGTCCAATACGATGACGATCCCATTTTACAGATGAAATGAGAATTCACGATACTTCCATTTTACAGATGAAAGGGGCTCATGGAAAGTAACTAACTTGGCCAAGGTCACCACCTAGAAAGATCTGGAACCAGTTTTATCAGAAACAAGCCTGATGTTGCTGGGGCTCAGGGGCTGAACTACCCCACTGTTGTAACTTGTTTCTCAGGCTTGGCTGTGAAGAGGATCCAGGTGGGCATCGGGGGGGGGGCTGCCCCCAGCTCAGAAGATTGAGAACGAGGGGCTGAGAAGTCCCCAGAAACTAGCAAGGCCCAGCCTTCGCTCGGGCCCTGGCCACACCCAGTGCGCCCTCACGGCCGGCTTCCTACACACCACCACTGCGGCCTACGCCAGGCCTGGGCCATGCGCTTGTGAGGATTCCCGCATCAGTTTCTCAGCTAGTCGCTCTGCTTCCGCCTTTGTCCCCTGTCCCCAACACAAGCTGCTCACAGCCCAGCACCCTGCGCCAGACCGCTGCCTCGTCCTGGGCAGCCCTGCCGACCTCGGTGCAAAGCTCATTGTGGTTCTGCCGAGCTCTAGATTAAAAACCCAAGTCCTTCCCAGGACCTGCAAGGCCCCCGTGCTCAGCCCTCCTTACCTCTCTGACTTTGTCCCCGCAGCTTTCCCTCTGGAGCATTTTGTTCAGGCCAAAATGGCCCCCTGGAGGAGCCAAACAGGAAAGATAGCCACCCGCTGCAGGACCTTTGCACTTGCTGTTGCCTCTGTCTGCACTGCTTCCTCCTCACACTGTCCCCATGGATCAACCCCCCATGTCCCACTTGGCTTCTCCAAACAACCTTCCTCACGAGGCCTTTACCAGACACAATCTAAAATGTCAACACTCCCATGGCTGGCTCTTCAAAACTCCCATCCCCCTCTTCTTGTCCCTTCTTAGTGTGTTGCTATCTGATGTGTTAGCTGTATTATAATTGTCTTTTTTATTATCTCTTGCTCCCATTATAATACAAACCCATTGAGGATGGAGGTTTTCATCTGGCCTGTGCATGGCTGTGACCCCAGCACCTAGACTGTGCCTAGCTCGGATTAAGGGCTCAAGAAATCCTTGTGAATGAATGAATGAATGAATGAATGAATGAATGAATGAATGACTTGATGCACGTAGGGATGCGACCAGCTGCAGATTGTCAGAAGGGCAAGCAGAGGGCGGTACTGTCCCTTCCTACCGAGGTCCACCTAGGAGAGGAAAGGGGTGAGATGCAGCAGTGACAGGCCCTGGGCTCTGCCCCCAAAGTGATTCAACACGCCTGAGCCTTGATCTCTCCATCTGTGAAGGTGTGAGAAGGAAGCTGACATTCGTTAGAACTGCTCACTCGGTGCCTGGCACTCACTGACTCCTCACAGCATCCATATAAAGTACATGCACTGCCCATTCTACAGATGAGGAAACCGAGCCCCAGAGGCCACAGTTCATATTATATCTCAGCGCCTGGCAGAGTCCGGAGTACAATCCACGTCCATCAGTTTTCACAAGCCGAGCTCTTTATCATCTCTATGCCCCCTTTTTCTTGAACAGGGCTTCTGTCGTCTACCTGCAGGCAGGCAACCCATGCTAAGACCTCGGGGCTGTGGTGAGTTTCCAACGAGACAAACCGGCTCCTGGCACCTCACAGGCCTGCAAGCAGCTTTGGCAACCAGCCCTGGTGGGGACTCCCCTCCCCGCCCTGCACAAAGCAAAGCTTCACTCTGCTTCCATCTCCTAGCATGGGGTGGGAGGAGGGGAGGCCAGGGGGCCAGCCCATTCATCCCTCACCCGTTTCCCAAATCTGGAAAAAGAGGGAAGCAAAGAGCACATGGAAAGCGGGTCTCCCCTTCCTTGTTTCCTTTAATATGGACCGGGTTTAGGGTCCAAAGGCCTGGGCTTTCTCGCCAGGTTCACCTGCGGTGCTCTGTGCTGAGTGCGCGCTTGGCGGGGGTGGGGCTGCTCTCGGGGGTGGGAGCTCAGCACTAGGAGGCCAGGTGGCCGCACCGCGGAGGCGCATCTGACATGGCATCTTCGGAGGTTCTGGGGCACCTGTGCACCTCAAAGACCTCCCAGTGCTGCCAAGATCAGGCTTATTACCATCTCTGCTCTGGGAGGGGTGGAACTACGCTCTCCCTGCCTCCCTCTACCCCTGCACCTGCTGCAAAACGACTTTGCACCTGCGAGCTTCCTAGGAGCCTCCTGATCCAGAATGTCTACCTGATACGCTGCAACAGCAAAATACTGCTCTGACCCCAAATCGGGAACCACTAAAGGAAATCCTCTTGTGGGGTCACAGGCTACCGTTGGTGCTGTCTATAAAGTCAATATTATGATCAGATTGCACTTGATAAATGAGAAGTCTTTAAAAGGTTATTGACTTTACTTACTTATTTAAAAAGCAAGTAAAAAAATAAATTAAAAATAAAAAGCAAGTAGACGGCCCATTTTTAGTAGCACTGAGACACTGGGCTCCTGACATTGTTGAAAGAAGCATTAACTAGGCCTCGACCCAAAGGCATGAATTTAGAGAGCCAGTTATTCTTATTTTGTTTGCACTTATTTAAAGGAAGCAATGATCACCAGGACCTGGCAAGAGGGCAGCAGGAACAAGCCATAGAGCGTGCCTGTGTGTGCGTGCATGGATTGATGTGGTCTGTGTGTGCATGCATGGATGTGTGTCTGTGTGTACGTGAAGGGATGGATTGTGTCTGTGTGTGTGCGTGGATAGATGTGGTCTGTGTGTGCGTGCGTGGATGGATGTGCGTCTGTGTGTGCATGCGTGGATGGATGTGTGTCTGTGTGCGTGCATGGATGGATGTGTGTCTGTGTGTGCGTGCATGGATGTGTGTCTGTGTGTGTGCGTGGATGGATGCGGTCTGTGTGTGCGTGCCTGGATGGATGTGCGCCTGTGTGTGTGTGCGTGGATGGATGCGGTCTGTGTGTGTGCGTGGATGGACGTGTGTCTGTGTGTGCGTGCGTGGATGGATGTGTGTCTGTGTGTGCGTGCGTGGATGGATGTGCGTCTGTGTGTGCGTGCGTGGATGGATGCGGTCTCTGTGTGTGTGCGTGGATGGACGTGTGTCTGTGTGTGCGTGCGTGGATGGACGTGCGTCTGTGTGTGCGTGCGTGGATGGATGCGGTCTGTGTGTGCATGCGTGGATGGATGCAGTCTGTGTGTGTGCGTGGATGGGCGTGTGTCTGTGTGTGCGTGCGTGGATGGATGTGCGTCTGTGTGTGCGTGCGTGGATGGATGCGGTCTGTGTGTGTGCGTGGATGGACGTGTGTCTGTGTGTGCGTGCGTGGTTGGATGTGCGTCTGTGTGTGCGTGCGTGGATGGATGCGGTCTGTGTGTGTGTGCGTGGATGGACGTGAGCCTGGGTGTGCGTGCGTGGATGGATGTGCGTCTGTGTGTGTGTGCGTGGATGGATGTGTGTCTGTGTGCGTGCATGGATGGATGTGTGTCTGTGTGTGCGTGCATGGGTGTGTGTCTGTGTGTGTGCGTGGATGGATGCGGTCTGTGTGTGCGTGCCTGGATGGATGTGCGCCTGTGTGTGTGTGCGTGGGTGGATGCGGTCTGTGTGTGTGCGTGGATGGACGTGTGTCTGTGTGCGTGCCTGGATGGATGTGCGTCTGTGTGTGCGTGCGTGGATGGATGTGTGTCTGTGCATGCATGTGATCCACGAGCATGTGTGCATGAGCATGTGTTAGCATATTAGTTAACAATCAGCATAACAGAAGTCAAAGGTATCATTTAGCTACTAAAAAGCTGTTACGGTCGTAGGCTGCCCAAAGTGCTCAGGATTAAGGGATTCTCAGGTGACTTCTCAGCACTACTGGAAAATGCCTCCCACTATACGAAACCCAACCTCTCTCCCCTTTCAAAGGATCACAAACGATAAATAAGATCACCACCCCCAGTTTCTGTTCTCACCAATAACTGACCAAGTCGAGAAGCAATCAGAGAGAAGAGGTGGGCGTGCTCCCCGACTCTAGCCAAGTCAGAGAGCCACGTCTCCCCTCCTTGGGATGCCAGAATGCTGCTTCTCTCACCAGCTTGAGGCCGTCAATACATCTGATCAAAGTCACAACACACCTGTAATGTTGTCATAGCTCCGGAAATTCATTTCGATGTGGTCCCACTCCAGCACCATGCAGTTCTCCATGCTCGGCTGAGCGATGGCCACGTACACGTCATTCTTGGAGTTGAATGTATCCACCGAAACCGACTGGTAGGGCAAAGTCTGATGAACAACAAAATCTGGGAATGGGTATTTAAAGAAAAAAAAGTCTCCATGAGATCCCTTGTGGGAATTATTGCCCACCATTTCCCTTCTACCCTCTGTAGCATCGGTTCCAAAGATGAGCAGGGAGGAGGGGGGACCGGAGAGAAGCAACATACATATCACAGCATGTTTTACTCTGGAAGGTTCCAGAAGGGTTCTGCCTTGGACAGGATGATGAATAGCTCACAGCTTGGCTGCTGGATTGCAAAGTTTAAAACAAATTTGGGGAGACCTGGCTCTCAAAAACACCAGCACAAAGATGCCATGGAACAACACTGCCTCAACGATCATGCAAATCACTCTGGGAAGAGGGCTGCAGTGGTCGCAGGGGTTTGGGAAATGCAGTTTCTAGCCCTCTCAGGATGGCCCCAGAAGCAAAAAACCTGACTTCCTTTGCTTGCTGGGTGCTTCTCAAGCTTACCTGCCAAGGTGATTGTTTTGGCCGCGGTTACACTCCCACGCTCCCCAACTCCAGGTTCAAAACCAAAGGTAAACTCCCCACAGGGCACGCTGCACTTTGGGGAACCAAGCCAAGCCCTCTGATACAGACCCAGAGATTTATGAAGGCTGTAGAGCAGGGAAGTGAACCGAAGGATGTTTACTGGTTGTTGGACTCGGGGGTGAGGGACGGCTATGCCTGTGATCTGGACAGTGTCCCGCGGTCTGCGAACAATGACAGTTCTGTTGGCTCTTCAAGCCACGTGGAACCATCCTATCTGAACACGTGTTCTACTCCTACACTTAGTGCTAAGTCAACACTCCTCAGGGTATGGCCCCCTCAGCTCCCGCTGACTCACTGTGTTCTCTTGGAAAGGAGGTACCATTTTACCAAGGAACCGGGTGAGCGTGCCCTGGGATGCAAGGAGGGGTAGTGTGTGGGAGCTAGGGAAGCAATGAAGAAAAATTAAAACAAACAAATGAACAAAACACTAAGAAAGTTGAAGGTAAGTTATTTCTTGGGCTAGCGATGCTTCCATGTGCACTGCTTCTTGGCAGGCTAAGCACACCCAGGGTCAAATGATGGTGGACGTCTGGCTGAGGGAAGTCGTTCTTCTGAGAAAACCCTGGCTCTGCCCATCCCCTGCCCACCCAGCCCTTAGCCGTGCCAACTCCGGCCCCATCTCTCCTGCAAAGCCGTCCCAGATCCAATGCATAGGACTCTCTCCTCTCTCACTGGGTTCATCATTAGGCATGGCTCTTTCAATCTCATTCTTCACAAATCTCCAGCATGGCAACTTCAGAGTCAGCTTTGGAGAAATGGGAAAGATCTTAGAGCCTTGAGCCCTTTCACAGAGCCATAAGATGAAGCTCAGAGAGGGCGTGCGTCCGCACAGCCAGGGTCTTGTGCCTCCTGAACCAAGGGATTCCTGAGGTCAGGCCTGGGTCCCACCCTCCTGAGAGCCTCCCACGGCGTAAGCCCATGGTGGCCACTCAAGAAATAACTCTGATTCGGAGGAAGCCTCATAAAAGAGGTCAAGTGAGAAAGACAGTACAGGGGTGAGCCACTCAGTGGTGAGCAAAGGCAGGATAATGCTGATGGGGCAGAGGCAGGAAAGGAAGGGAGAGACTGAGAGACGCTGAGCAAGGGTTGAGGTGGAAAGGGTAGAGCGGGGATGAGAAGAGCAGGTATCATGAGCGGCGGGAGAAGGGAGCAGGGCTGAGGGAACCAGGATGGCATGTGGCACAGGGAAGAGCCCTGTGCCTGGATTCAGACCCCCTGAAACCAGCCCCTGCACTTGAGGCCCGGGGCTGTGCACTTTCCCTGGCAAGGCCTCAGTTTACTTCGGTGCCAGATGGGGGCGATGATTCTCACCTGCCAAGCTTGATGGCAGGGACGCATTGGTAATGTTGGTGGAAGTGCCCATCTCGGGGCCTGGCACGTGGTAGGGACTTCATAAATATGGAACTGAGGTCTGAGAAAGGACAGCCTGCCTCCTCCGTCCCAGCCATCCCTGGGCTGTCTCTTGAGGAAGTGTCCATCCTAACGGCATCTAAGATGACATGGCAGAGCTGTGACTGATGTCTGGCTGAGTGACCTCGGGGAGGTTATTTCACCTCTGTCTGGTTTAGTGTCCTCACTGGATATCTTAATTCTTACTCATGTAGAGTTGTGCGTAGTACACAGTGAGGGCTCAATATATGCTCACTTTTGGAGGTGTCCCTATCCCCATTCTGAGTGCACAGTAGGTGCCTAATAAATGTTTGCTGGCAGAGGAGTGTGGGAGGGCTGGCCTCGCCCACCCCGTGGTCCACTCTGCAGACCGTGTGGGGAGGAGGCTGGGGGTGAATGAGCGACGCACGCAGGTGCAGGGACAAGAGGGAGAAGCAAAGAGGAGGCCGCCTCTGCACCCGACAGCAAGAAGTAGCCGAGGGAGAGCGGGGACAAGTGACAGTACCACTACTGTGAGGGATCCCCTCACCCCCAGAGCCGGGAGCAGAGCATCCGCAAGAGCTGAGGCTTTAGCTAAGACAGGCGAGGCTTCGGGTTCCCGCTTGTATTTGCAGCTCTGTGACCTTGGGCAAGAAACTTGAGCCTCAGGGTCCGCATCAGTGAAATAAAAGTGACACCTATTTCATGAGGTTGCCGCAGCGACTATGTAAGAGAGTGTAAGCGTTAGCATTAGAGTCCTGTGTATGGGGAGTTTGATACCATAGCTTTGTAGGCTGTAGAACAATGACCGTGTTGAGTTGCTGCGTGAACACTCAGGAAGGATCACGATGGCTCCCAGCCCTGTCCCTTGTCAAACCCCCCAGATACTAGAGTACATCAAAGAGTAAAAATGGACAAAACTCAACCTGTGGATACACAGAAAAGGGGAAATGGTAGCAGTCATCGTCTACTTCCTTTTCTGGAGACAGAAAAGGACTCCGAGAATACAGCTGCGGTCTTTTAATTCTGAGACAGCCACAGACCCTTTCTGCCTCTCGGGCTGCCTTCTGCTAACGCAAACCCCGAAGGTTCCCAACAGTCCTGCCTTGCCTCTAACCCACGTCTCCCGCCTGCACGCCGACGTCTCAGAAACATGAGCATTCACTGAAAAATGCAGGCTGTTTAAAGGGCAGACCAACAAGCTTCAGTTTTTTATTTAAAAAACCCCTAGAAAGAAAGAGAGCTGCCAAAATTAGACAGCATTTTACAAATCTAGCTTTTAACGGTTCTATTTTCATTTGTTTTCCCAAAACATTGGTTTCATAATATTTTCTATATGCTGACTATCTGGCACAACACAGACTGTTAAATCATCTGAATTATAAATCTAATTCTTAATAGGAGAGTCCTTCTCCCCGTCCCCCACCCCCACCCCCAAAAAGGAGGAGGAGGAGGAAGAAGAGAAAGGAAGAAGGGAAGAAAAGAAAATGACTGATCACTATGTATTGGGTTGGGGGTGGGGAGGGGCTGGAGGAATTTAAGGATCCTCTCCCGTCCCCATTTTAATTCATCTTTCACGACCGGCAAAAGCACATTCGTCGTGCAAAGATCTCCAACAATACACATATTGATATGACATCAATTTACTAGTGTTAAAGTATTAACGGCACGCTCTCCACAAAGCGCTGCCACTTCCATTCACGTTGGATTAAGTTCATGATGTCAGTGGGACACTTACAATTTAGGCCTTCTCCCACTGGAATCAACAGATTTTTACACAGCTATTTATAGCTATTTATAGCCCTTGCAGAAAATAAATTATACATGACGCCGATCCTATTGGGAAAGAAACTGCACATTAATGCATTATTTCTCTTTGCATTTCATCAGCCCGGCGATAGCTACTAAACCCCTGCTAACAGGACAATTAGGATGCAAAATGCACTCCCTCTTAGGAATTTAGCGAATTACCCACCTAACACGGGGAATCATGAGTAGGTAACAGGGATTTCTGAGGTGGTTAAAAATAGACTTGAAAGCGGAGGGTTATGGAAGGACTGTGATTAAGCCAGAAGCCGAAACAGTCCGGCAGTGGTTCTGCCGTGTGAATTATACCCGGGCACCACAACACAATGGCAAGAGAAATCTTCCTCTCTCTGGGAAGAATAGGATCTTCCTCTCCTTCCCCTACCTGAAGAATTTATGCCTTTCCTGAAAATCCGAGCTAAGAGAAAAATAATGCCCTCAGAGAATGTACTTCTTCCCAAAAATGCAGTGAGGATGCCGTCCTCACTAGTCCCCGGGCTCTTAGATGGGGCTTTCTATCTGCCTTCCATCCTCACGCGTTTCCCTCCCAGTCTTTAATAAAGCACCAAAGGATGAGGCTTGATATGAGTGGAAGACAGGCACCAAAAAAACTCAGAATTTATTGACTTCGTTCTTACAAGGCAGGGACTGTATCTGGGGGTGGGCCCCGCTTGGGTACGCCATTTATTCTTGATGGAGGAAACCATGAGCGAAAGCTAATTTGTTCGTGGGTCTTAAAGGGAGAAAACAGTAGCAAAGATAGAATCATCACCTGCCTGTTACCAGGGAGTAGTGCTGACTGTCTAAATTTTAGTAGGAAGGTTTCTAACAAAGACAAATATATGTAAGAGAGGGAGGATGCCCTAAAATGTTAGGGGGCTCATGCTGCCCCATGGGTTCTGGGTTTAGGACAGGTTTCCAGAGCTGGCTACCTTGGTTCCAAGCCCCTTTTACCCTTGTGACAATTCTGAGAGCCCAGATCATTTTCATAACCATCCCCAGGTTGCAAAAATCAGAAATCCTGTTTTCTCATATAAATTATTCCCTGTTCACAGGCCCTGGATAGCCCATGTCATGTCTCCCAGAGACTGGCAAAATTTTCAGCCACTCTGGCCAGGTGTGAAGAGAACAATGAAAAAGCGGCTCACTTCACCTGAGGTTTAAATAGAGAACTCTCCAGAAAAACTGGAGCGGAGACAGAAAGGAGCCCCGGGGAGCTGTGGTTTGGCATTTCACACCAAATGGCCTTGAATGCCACCTTTTGGTGCAGATGTGATTGACTCTGAGCTCTGATTTACTGCACTGCTCCGTGATATAATAAATAACCTGCTCGTGGTCTCTGCCGGCCAAAGGGTACCTGCCAGTTACACAGCTGAGTAAGGCCCTTTTCAAACTGGAAGACATGGGCAGCCACGAATCTGTGGCTTTTCTCCCAGCAGAGAGAGAACTTGCCAAGTCCCTTACTTATGAAGATACCTAGAAATAGTTTTTACTTTGTGGGTTCCTATTTGTTTATTTGTTTGGAAGGCAGCAGGACGGGCCTAAATCTCACAGTTGGTTCTTGGAGGGTTTTTTGTTCTGTTTTGTTTTGTTTTGTTTTGTTTGTTTTCCTTTTGAGTTTCTGTCACTGTTTTCTGAGTTCTCATGCCTGCTATTCCCCCTGACATGCCTTGAGGCTTTGTAGGTATCAGCTCTCAGCCGAAACGGTTATTTTTGAGTTTCGTAAGCAGGTTTCGTACTGGGGATTGATCTGCTTTCCTTTAAAAGCTGTCCTTAGAAGCTGGAGGAACTCCACTGAGGCCTCTCACACGGAGACACGCCCCTGCTCCCCACGAGACGCGACAGGGGAAGCAGTTAGTATTTTAATTTTGTCTTATAATCTGTAAAATGTATAAATGGAAACCTTGAGGCAGGCCGTGGAAAAATGCAAAATCAAGGTTTCTGTACATTTTTCCTCAATAGGAGTTTTTTTGTTTTTTTGGTTTTTTTAGATAGTTACTTGTTCCCTTATGTTTCTATTTTGCCATTGGTTATAATTCACCAAGTTATCTCTTTGTACATAGAACTACAAAAGGAATTTACGGATGTTAAAGGCTGGTATTTATTAGCTGAATGTTCAGTAAACGTCACATTATTCAATCAGGAGAGGAGTGACCAGAGCGGATCATCCCGAGAGCAGGAATGCGGGCCTCTCTGCACTGACCTTCCATGAAACCTGACCTGTAAATGGGCTTATGCCCAACTCATCAGTTTATACTTTGGCCCTTTAAAAAAAAAAAAAAAGTCAGAGAGATAGGAATTGTGTAAAGAATCAAAATTAAGGCAAAGGGCAGTTAACAAAAATCCTTCCAAACTGCTGAGATACTTTCCTGACCGCATCAATTCATTTCTTTTAGAACGCTTAAACGTTGCCTAAAATAATCTGGACAGAACACCTTTACACCCGCTTTTCTCCATTCCCTGTGGATGACCTAAAAGAAAAACAAAGCGATTATCCTCCGTAACAGTCTTCAGTGATAGAGGTTCTGAATACCTGTAGTGGTACACTCGTAGTCGAAGCTGGGTACATCATTTAGCTTCTTTTCCTGGTATTCTGGTGGACCGATACAGAGGACATCGGAGACAGTGGAATTGGTCATCTTCAGCCACAAATACAACCACTTGGCTTTGCAGTCACATTCGAATTTATTGCCCCTTAAATCGCTAAGAAACAAAATGAAACACAAACACATCGACAGAGAAACAGACAGGCCTGAAATGTTTCAGCAGTCATATGGAAATCCAGCAGGATTTAACATCCTCGTATACTTACATGAAATTTAAAAAATTTGTATTTAATACATCCTATTTCTTGTACTTATCATGATTTTAACTAGAGCCTGCAGAGAGCTCACAGAGCTAACCTATCACCATGTCTCCAAACTCTTCTGAAACTGTCACCACGCCATGCTGGAGATGGGGAAGGGGGGACAGGGTTGACATTAGAACACCACCCCCCCAAGATGCACGTTCTCACAAACAAAATCAGGACATTCTAAGAAGATCGCTTTTGCAAACACGATCGAAACTTTAAGATCTTGTTGATAAATGTCCAGTGAGACGTGACAAACACTAGAAGATAAAACAGAGGGATCCGCTACCTTGAGAAAGGAAACCTCACACCAGCTAGCCTACCTTACCATTGGCCTAATGCTACTAAGTGTATTCCAACATGGCAAGATCTAACTAATACAATATAAACTGTATGTATGCTGTTTCCCACCATGCACTCTTGTCACCGATTCCTAACTACAGCATAAAAGAAATGCAGTGATGGGGAGAGGGGGCTTAAAGACATGATTAACTGGGGCACAATGACAAGCACACATAAACTTAATTTTCCTTACTTACAGTTCAATCAGAGAGTCTAAATCACTGAAGACATCCCTTGGGAGTGCTTTTATGTGGTTATTGGCCAAAGAACTAGAACAAGAAAGTCATATTTTAATGTGGTTATTATCCTCATGCCCTGTCACTCCAAAGTCCCGGAAACAAAGCTAATGATTTAAAACAGAGCTCTAACCCTCTTCAGCACAACCTGGTTCAATTCCTGGCTTTGCGCATGGATACTGAGACAAAGAAATGAGATTTGTTGTACAAAGACAGCATTACAGATGCTGGAGTACAATGTAAGTGTTTTTGCTTTGTTTTTTAAAGAAGCATTTATTAAGCTCTCTATTTATATACATTTCTTAAAGTTTGGATGGCATCTTATGTTTCTCGGAATAAAAGCCAAATCCCTTTGATGGCGTACAAGACTCTCCATTGTCAAGTTACCCCCATTCCCACTTACCGATGGACTGAATCTCTGACTACTCAGAACGCCCACACTGGGCCCCTTGCTACTGCTCAAACGGGCAAGGCACGCTCCCACCCCGAGGCCTCCGAACTTGTGATTCGTCTGCCTGAACGGTCTTCCTCCAGCTACCCACACAGCTCATTCCAGCACACAGCTCACTCTCCTTTAGGTCTGTCCTCAACGATCACCCCTTCCCTGACCTCTACCATCTCCCTTCCCTGTTCTGTTGATCCTCACTGCACGACTGTCCCTTGGCATACTACCTACTTTAATTACCTCTTCATTTATTGGCTGTGTATTCTCCCTATACATAAGCAACATGGGGACAGAGATTTTGGGTTAGTCCACATCTGTATCCCCAGCATCTAAACAGTGCCTGGCACCTAACAGGAACTCACTAAGTCTTTGTTGAGTGAATGAAGGAAGCACTTAAGTGAGAAAGATAAAAGAAAAGGTGTATAGTCTTTCCAAGAAGTTCCCTCACAGCCCATCTAAGTGAATTCTATGACTTGTGACTCTAAGAAAGGATTCAGTAAATACTCTTTCACATACATAAAGATGCTCAGCTCTAGCCCCATGATAATATAAAAATTGCAAAGAACTATAATGTTTAGAGAACAACTGATTGTGATCAATTGCATCTTCTCACTAACGAAGGTTGACCAGAAACCATTTTGCATTTTTGCTCTCAGTGTTGAAGATCTTTCCAAAATGTCCTAGTCTGCTCTCCCTCTCCAGGAAGAATGAATATCGTCAACTCTTTTTCTGATGATTCAGGATCATGCAGTGCCCTGTCATCATCCTGCTGAAGATGAATGTCCGTGGTGCTGGGCGGCTGACGTAGAAAGATGCTGGGTGTTGAAAGATGCTCATCAAGTCTGTGCTTCCCCCCTGGGCATCCTGCTCTAACGGGAGTTAGAGCCAAGAAACTGATGTCTACTTTTGTTTTCTTTTGTATGGGGGAATACAAACAGCAAGACGCATAAATCATAAACACGCAGGCGAGTCAGCACCAACCTCTTTAAAATATATGCATGAAATTAGCCTTCCGTAGCCTCATAGTGATCCACTGCAGAAAGGGGAATTAAAGAAATGGGCATTCCTCCCTCCTTAGCATCAGCTCACAGAGAAAACTTTGAGCCCATTTTAGCCCAAACATACTTGCTGCAAGATACCAAGAGACTATGGGGAGACCTAATCATTTCAGAATTATGTGCCTTCCCACCTAGGTAACCACAAATGGATTAAAATATAATTTCATCTATTATTTTATCTTTCTTTCCTAAATGATTTATTGGTACATTTTTAAAGATGTTGGACAATAGGCTGACTATGGAATCAGACAGAACATGCCCAGAAGTAGCTTTCCGAAATTTAAAAAAAAAATGTTTGTTTTGCTTTTTTGTTGGTTGAGGGTCATTTTTTCTAGAAAGTCCAAACAACTTTTTTAGCTAATTAAGGGTTAATTATTTAGCTAAACATTTTTAGTTAATTGAAACGTATGGTACTGAAGTGACAAGAATAGATGGAATGGTCAAAGCTAAAAAAAAGCAGTATGTTTAGCAACCTTTCCAAGCGTTCAATTTAGATTTCAGAAAGCCAAATTATTTAGATGGACTATCCACTCCACTCACGCTAAGTGCATAACATCTCACTTTCCACTTCATTTTGTCTACAAATTTATGGCACTTACTTCATTCTAAAACTACTTAACGGCAACCTGTCCCTTGGGCTTTATAGGACTGCTGGAAAACAAATGTCCTAGATTTTAGTTACAGATTGGGACTGCTTCTTCGATGCTTTGAAACCTGATCTATGCTTCTTGAGAACAAGAATGTGAGCCTGTAGGTGTTGGAAAAAGTCATAAAAGATAAAAACCAGATCCTTAAATAAGCAAAGTCCAGATAGTGACTTCTTGGTCCCTTTGCTTAGAAGTTTACAGAAACTGGGATGAAGTGGGGAGGACTGGTTCATTCTTTAAACAATGCATTAAATGCTTTAATTACTACCTACATCTCCAACCTAAGGAGTCAATTTTGAAAGTCACTTGATTTGCCCAGAAGCAGAGTATGTAAGGAAAATCCAACTCAGTAAGGAACTGATTGATCAACCAGGTAATCAGAAAGAATGATGTGCTGGCTTTCAGTCCTAGATGCCTGGGGGAAGAGCAGAGCTAATGAACCATCCCCCTGGGCCCTGCCCTCAGGGACCCTTCAATGCAGTGAGGGGGCGGGGGGATAAAACTGACATCATGAAACAGTACCAACCAGTATGGCCACTGCCACGGTCAAGTGTTGGGTGTGTGGAACCAGAGTAAGGGCTCTGGGAAGGGCAGAGGGGAGATCAAGAATGGCTCCAGGAGCGGAGACAGAACTTAATCTGGACTTGGAAGGAAAAGCAGATTATAGGAGGTGGAAGGTAGAAGAAACAACATTCCGGTCAAGGGAAGGATGTGAGGAAAAGCCCAGTTATAAGATGAGTCAGGTGTGCACGGGGGTCCACGGAGAGATCAGTGCTCTGTAGACATTTCAGGAAATGAGGATGGAGAAGTGGGGAGAGGCGGGTTCTATACGCTTGACTATAGAATGGCAAATTACTGCATCGGGCGAGTACTCTGGACCTGGGGTGCCTCGGTGGCTCAGTTGGTTAAGCATCTGACTCTTGATTTCAGCTCAGGTCATGATCTCAGGGTCATGAGATCGAGCCCTGGGTCGAGTTCTGCGCTGGGCGTGGAGCCTGCTTGACTCCTCTCTCCCTCTCCCTCTATTCCTCCCCCGCCACTGCATGTTCTCTCTCTCTCTAAAAAAAAAAAGAAGTACCCAAAGGACTCTTGCTTTCACATGTCACACAGAATAGGAGGTGCCTTTTAACACATATGCATGCATTATATACACATGTGGTTGTGTGCACGAATAACAAGCATGCACACACAGTTATGTACACACACACTATATACACATACCTACCCATGTATAGAAGTCCATGCATCCCTGAGCAAACCTGTGCAAAGATATGCAAACATGCATGCACAATACCTGCGTGGTCACACCTGTGCTCAGACCAAAGACCCACAGCCAGTTGGTCCAATGAAAATTGACATCTGGGCTAACTCAGTCAGTCACATGGGCTTTGCTTAGGTTCATGATCTGCCCAGAACTTTTGCTCAAAAACAAAGCCCCTCATTCCTGACTTCTGGGAACCAGATCTGTCTGGCCACAGCTGTTCCTCTCCAGACACCCACAGCTGTCTTCTTAGCAGACCCTGTCTGGCCGCTCGCACTGCCAAGGGTCCTCGGCAGTCCATAGAGAAAATGGAGACTTCTTCATGAGTGGACGGAGGCAATGATATTGCTGTTGATGATGATCACGGTAGCAACGCCAACCATACCTTGAGCCCTTGAGCGTTTACCAAGGGTAATGGGCTGGATGCTTTGCAAGCAAGCATTAACCCACCATGTGCAACAATCCTATGGGGTCAGTGTAATCACCCACACCTTCAGGATAAGGAAACTCTGGCTCAGAAAGGCTAAGCAATGTTAATAAATGATGGCTTTGAGATTTGAACCCAAGTCTACATGACTCCAAATCCATTATCTCAACCTTTACAGGAAGATGGGGATTTGGTATCTGGGTTCAATCTGAAAAAAACAAAAGAAAACAACAACAAAACAAGACTTTTCCAGAAAGGAAGGAAAACCTGGAGCGATAATGGCAACAAGAGGCTGACACTCTCTGGTATCGATGGTGCCGATCCAGATGTTTGGACCTCCCTCCCACGCTCCTCCCTCATCTTCTTATTCTAGGAGCTTTATTTAACTCAGGCAGGGCTTCTGCTTGGTAGGCTTCCAGAACCAAGTGCTCCCTGAGCCTGTGGACAGACACCTTTGGCTGTATCAGGACTTGATGTAAATGATTATCTCCGTAGATGTGTATCAGTTCAAGGCTGAACCTGCTGAACGTTCTATCACCCCTGCCCAAAACCCCCACTCAACATCCTCCTATTCTCCCAATTTTCCTTTTATCACCAAGATGAGACATGTTATCTTACTCAATCACAAAATATCTATCATGCACATGGGACCTGGCCCTGGCTAATAAATTGCTCCTACCAAGAAGACAATGACTATTTTTACATTTTCATAAATACCGCCACAATGTTTTCCGGCTTCCTAAGTTTGCCAAGTGTGTGTACTTGCTTCATTCTGATATGCCAATTCAAATCAATTTAATTTTTTTTTTCCTCCAGAAAGCTATTAAAGAAGCCAGAGAGCTTAGCTTAAGCTGCAGATTAATCCAACATAAAAGAAAAAGCTATTTGCATTCAAATTAGAGCAACCACAAAAATGTCTCTATTCCACTTCTTCCTAATTTTGATCCTGCACTCAACATTCTTCAATGAGTCAGGGAAGTCTCAGTTCCCAAATCTGTAAAATGGAGACTCACTAAATATCGTGAAAGATAAAGAAGAGAGGGCTCACGAAGCACGCAGGTATGTGCCCGGCACACAGCAGGTGTGGGTGGATGGAAGTTTCCTTCCCGCCTCCTCCATAACCCCCCGCCCACCCCTCACGGCTCAGCGGGCTCCTCACGGCACGTACAGTCACATGGTCCACAACAGCCCATCAGGATGATGGAAAAGATCATAAAGCCAAGTGCATGGGTAATGACACTAGGCTGGTGTCCGATCAATAGCACAGAAACCTTTGGGGCAACCTGGAAATTAGTTTCCTTGAGAGAATGTTAACAATATGTACAGTGCAGCCAAGAAAGCGCAAGGCACCAGGAAGTGGATTTTATGCCACCCCTTGAAGGACCCGCAACATTTTTCATAGGACTTACAGGTGAGTCAGGTCACGGAGACCACGAAATGCATTTCTTGAAATGGTTTCTATTTTGTTCCCTTCAATGAACCTAAAGAGAAAAGCAGTAGCATTCAACGGAATTTTCTCGACTTAGTATCTCTAAAAAATGATATTCAAAACAAAATCTGAAAACATGCATGGATTTAAAACATTCATCTCTGAGGGTTAGGTAGGCTGCACGGGAGCTGGGTTTGTGTGCAAGAATGCGTGCACACAAATGTATGTTCTGCGCTCCTTCCAAAAGCAGCATGGAAGGCTTCACATTCAGAGCTGGCAACGTGGGTAAAAACATCTTGAGGGGAAAAGAAAAAAAAAAGAAAGCCCTATACAAAAGCAAGAAATTCTTAAATCTCTGCAAGACTGGAATGCTTCCAGACATCTTCCCCACTCCAACCTTCTTATATTTCACAGTGCCTGGCTATTAATACTTTCATTAATATCGTTGTCTCTTGAGGGGAACTCATTGTTTTACATCTCTGCCTTCAAGTTTGCCGAGGGAGAATTCCATTAAGCTTGGCTTCTGGCAAACTTGACTTCAGCATGTCCTACACAGTCTAATCTCTGAACAAATGGGTAACAAGGCAGGATTCTCTCAAGATCTCTAAGCCACTAGAAAATAGGAAATATAATGAAGTTGAGCATGGGCCAAACCTCTTGCTCTGTGCTAAAATGGCTTAGGGCTTGCACACAGGACCTTGCAGTAATAACTCTGACCACGCTTTAAAGTCTTTATGGGAAATACATGAAGCGAATGCACTCCAACTATTCCCTAGGACCACAGGGAACTAAATTTTAGTTTATGGCATCCCATGACATCAAATGTAAGAGGGTCTTTGATGAGATAGTCCAAGGGAGAGGCTTTGCAACACGATGCCATTCGTTAGTGAAATAGCTCTTGATTCTTGTACTGACATCTTTTTGATGTGTTTTTTTTAAAATCAGGGGTCTATTCAGTAATAGAATTCAGTATAGACTGATAAGCGAACTTCCCCTCAATAACCTTGGCAGTAAGATGAACTGCTCACAAGAGAAAACCGATAGCTTTACATTCACTACCGCCATCAGCTGTTCGGGTGCTTTGATAGAACCTGGTTAGGCTTAGCTTCCGTCATACCCCGCTTTCCATATTACGTATACTATCAGGGCCGTTAGGAAAGTATACATATTATGTGTACTCTGGAGGAAGAATTCCTTCAGAGACCTCTTTCCTAAGGACATAAAATCAGCAGAGTTTTTTTTAGACCCAGGATGTGTTTAGAATTCAAACATCTACCTGTTAACCTCAGATAAGAAAGCAGAGACGAGGCTTTAAAAATCCCTCTGAATGCTAAGTAAGGAAATCCCATCTGATAGCAGGATTAATATTATTACAAAGTTACAAAAGACAAGGATGAAAGCTTTTAAGGGGGAAACCGACATGAAGGGGGCAGGGAGGGGCAAATCAGAAAAGAAATCAGGAAACGAAATCAGAACACGGGCAAAGCTCATTGTTACGGGAAGAAAACTGCACACCTGAAAAGAAAAAAAAGCCCTCTTCTTTTAGAGAAGAAAAAAATAAAATTAGACTCTCAGCAGCAGCCCACAGGAGATACTGCAAACGGGATCTAGGAGAGCCAAATTAAAAACATGAAGGTGTATCCCCATATAGGGAGCCTTTACTTAAAAATAAGTAACACTCAGAATCCTTCAGCTTTATTTCTGGCTCATCAGCAAATCCATGCCTAGTTATGAGAGGTAAAAATATCCAACGCAATCTCCAGTTGTGCTTACTACATGCCAAATTAAATGTCAGCAGAGAATGAATGAATATCTTTCCTTCTTTGTTTGCTTTCACCCACTCTGTCTCCAACCTCCTCCTGTCCCAGCATGTTTATGCACAAGTAAACTATAAAAGGTCAGTGCTGAAAAGAGAATGGGGTTTTCTCCATTTTCTCCACCCCTAAGCTCTCTGAGAGATGCTGTTCCTGCTTGGAAAGCAAGATAGCGATTCTATGGACATGCCAAATGCTCAGAAAAGAGACAAAGCACAGAACTTACAGGTATTCAAGATGGAAAAGTCCAGCAAAAGCATCATCCCGGATGATGGTAAATGAGTTAGAATTCAGCAATCTGAAAGTAGAGGATGGATTTCAGTGCAGAGATGGACACCTTGAGTAACATAGCGAAACTCTTTCGGTTTCTTTCGCTATGTTCTGATCCATGGCAAACATGGGCTCTTCTCAGCCTAAGACTGGCTCCTTAGGTGCACAGCCCAACTCACAGATGCCATGGACGGTGGCAAGTGGATTCTTTTTGGCTAGATTTTCTGGTCACCCCCACTGTTCTACCCTTCCTCCCCGGTGGGTCTACCCTTCCTCCCCGGTGGGTCTACCCTTCCTCCCCGGTGGGTCTCAGTAAATAAGACTTGATAGCTGTATCTCAAAACATTCTAACGCTCAGCACAACTAAACAGCCAGTGAATGCTTTAACATGCACAAGCAATCCTGGAATCAGAGATCTAAAAGAACCTAATCCGACTCTATTTTAAGGGGGAAATTTGTGCCCAGAGAGGTTAAGTGACTTGACCAAGGTCACACAGCTGAGACCAAAATGAATAAATAAATAAATAATCTTTTCTTCTCTATTATACATTCCCATGAGAAATAATAAAAAAGTTTAAGAAATCTTCAGAAGACTCTTTATCAGCACATAGGTTTCTATTAGTCACCACTTAAGTCTATTTGGTGAGATACGTAAAATTGCATTTCTAGCATATGGAAAGTATATTTTAATAGAACTAAAATTTCCAAGAAATTACAGATTTTAAAATGTTAAGTACAATGTTATGAGTAGGTCCATAACATTTCAAGAACAAAAATATCAACATTAAGTTTATTTAGGATGAGAAGTGACCTCCTAAAGTCTATTTCCTCATATTTTTCTGTAGTACATTGCTTATTTTTAATCTCATCTCAAACTTAAGAAACAGAACAAACAGAATGAGCTATGTACTCATGACTTCGCCTATCACCGACTTGCTTTTGAAAACTGCTTTTTGGACATTTCTTTTCATCAGCAAACAATAACTGAACTGGGATACCGGGCATAACATGAGTACTCGCCAAGAGTGGCTGGATGCAGAGCAGTTATGAGTGTGGGTTAGAATTCTGGTGGGGAGGGGGGCGCCTGGGTGGCTCAGTTGTTAAGCATCTGCCTTCAGCTCAGGTCATGATCCCAGGGTCCTGGGATAGAGCCCCCTGCATCAGGCTCCCTGCTCCACAGGGAGCCTGCTTCTCCCTCTCCCACTCCCCCTGCTTGTATTCCCTCTCTCGCTATCTCTCTCTGTCAAATAAATAAAATCTTAAAAAAAAAAAAAAGAATTCTGGCTTGGGGGTGGGCGTGGGGAGGGGAGGGCGCCTGGGTGGCTCAGTTGGTTGAGTGGTTGAGCATCTGACACTTGATTTCCTTGATTTTTTTCAGCTCAGGTCATGATCTCAGGGTCCTGAGGTGGAGCCCTGTGAGGGGCTCCATGCTTAGCGGGGAATCTGCTTGAGATTCTCTCTTTCCCTCTCTGTCTCCCTCTACCCCTCCCCCAACTCACACTCTCTCTCTCTCAAGTAAATAAATGAATCTTTAAAAAAAAAAAAATTGTGGCTGGGATTTTGGACAAGTTACTTAACTTCTCTGAGCCTTAATTTTCTTGTCCGTCAAAGGGGGAATAAAAATACTCTCCTTGTAGGGATGATTAAATAAAATTTTCCATATAAACGTATAGTATGCTGCCCAATCGTTTACATGGTCAGTCAACTAAAAATACTTCTACTTCCAGAGACACATAAAGAGTTTAAAATGTAGGTTTTCTTTTTAAGATTCTATTTATCTATTTGACAGAGAGACACAGCCAGAGAGAGAACACAAGCAGGGGGAGTGGGAGAGGGAGAAGCAGGCTTCCCGTGGAGCAGGGAGCCCGATGCGGGGCTCGATCCCAGGACCCCGGGATCATGACCTGAGCCGAAGGCAGACGCTTAACGACTGAGCCACCCAGGCGCCCCACAATGTAGGTTTTCTTTTAAAGTTAGGTGTCTGGGAAACACTTCATTTATGTGAAATTCAGGCCATCATTCAGTGTAATCACGTCCCTCAGTTGCCAAATACAGATGTTGGGATCTATGATAAAGTCCTTGAGGAAAACGTGTGTCGAAAGAAGGAGGGGACACTGAGCAAAGAGCCTGAGACTCAGATAGGTGGGGACACCACAGGACAGTTAACACCGAGAGTTTATTGGGGTATTTAAGGAAGGACTGACACCAAAGAGGCAGAGATGGCTCCTCCCAGGACTGCACCTTCAGGATCCCCATTTTCAGAGAGAACTTCCCATACTCACAGCAGCTGCAGGGAAGGCAGATGGGAAAACATTCGGTCCTTGATTTCCGAAAATGTTCCATTTACCAGGCTCCTACAGGCAAAAGAGAAGCAAAACAAGGCCTAGGATTTTGGGGTTTTGTTTTATTTTTCTAGAAGTGATTGCAGGCTGGGCAACCAGTCTTATCCTCCACCTGTGTTTCCTCCACGCAGGATAAAGGCTTAAAATAGTCAACCAGGGGCTTCTCAGGGGTAGAAATGAGAAGAGTCAAGCCATTTCCCAATGAGCTGGATCAATATGAAAACTAGTCTGAATAGTAGAAACCTTTACCATCAGCCTAGCTCCTTCCACAGACATTATCTCAGCAAGTTTAAATCAATCTCCTCACTTCCTTTTCTTAACTACAGGAGGCCCTGGCTGAAAATGGATAGTTGCTTCACCTCTGCCGGTGATTCTGTTTGTGTGGACACAGCATTAATGTCTGCAGGGGAAACTCCGGGGTAGGATTAAGCATTCCCCTTGGGAGCACATCTCTGAAAGACACTCAGAGCACTTCTGATTAAATGCACTGTGAAAGCTTTGGGGGAAAACTCAAGAGACACCTGAACTTGAATGTTCGGTGGGAGGCAATGCCATCCGCCAGATATAATGGTCAATACAGGGGCAAGCTGCTTGACTATTTTTGCCACCAGGTCCCCTATCCTTTCTGGCCACAGCAGGACCGCCACACATTAGTTCAAAATTATTTCAGTTAACAGGCAGATCAATTAAGCAGCTGCTGTTCTAAAGGATTTAACAAGGGGAATTCCAGTTTCTGGGATCCTCCATGTCACACGACCTAGCAACATCAGTAATCAAAAAGACCCCCCGTTCCTGCCAGCCAGGTCATCCTGAGTTTCTGTAATGCCAATGGGAACCCCTTCACCCCTGGACCTTGCCAGGGGTGCGAAGCAGGGCAGTGTCGTACAAGGGACCTGAGCAACTTTGCCCCTGGGATTCCCTGCCTCTGTGACTGAGTGGGCATCACCCCAGCACCCTGGCCTGGAAGGAGGAAGTGCTTTCAGCCAGAAACATTTCCCAGCAGTAAAGATATGGCCCGGTAGCCCCTTCCACTGCCATTAGGAGAGCCGGTTGTGGGGAGAGTGGCTGTGTCAGGGCGGGTTGAAAGCGTCTGTCAGCAGGTGAAGAAATAAGGTGGAACCCTTCCTGTCAATTCCTCCAGTGCTGAAAAAGCAGCCAGCATAATGTGTGGTGGGGAGAGGGGCAAGAAGCTTGTGAACTCCGGGCAAGAAGTCAGGCTGCCTTCCAGCACTTGGCCACTGGCCTGGGTGCCCCACATGCCCCAAAGCTCTGCCAAGCCCTGTGCTCCCCTCTTCCAGGCCTCAGGAGGTGGCCCCCCACTTCCAGAGGCTGCATGCCTTTACTCGAGTTCTTCCCAACCTGCAGTGTGGAAGGGTCGGGAGGAGGCCACGGTGTAAACCACCGCCCAGACGCGAGGTGGGCCGGTGAGGCCTCATCCCTCCCCTGTTGACGCTCACTCCAGTCACGCTCGGCTGCACATTCATGCCCCTACCCGACCACCTCTCCCCTCACACCCCTCCTCTTAAACTTTAATGCACCGCCAGAATCACCTGGGACGCCAAATGCAGACTCCAAGGCTCCACTCCTGAGACCCTGCTTCATTCAACGCGGGCCCGGGAATCTGCATTGGCACGAGCTCCCTCACCCCCCCCACCCCCCCCACCCCCCACCCCCGGCCAGGTGGGTCTGAGGCAGGTGGCCCGCAGGCCACACTTTAAGCAACACTGCCACGGGGACTTGTCTGGGTTCCCAGGCTCTGGGGCTCGGGTTCCCTCCACCGTCCCCAGGGCCCCAGACTCCACCCACGTCCCACAGCGGGCCCCCAACCAAACGCCAAAAAGAGGCTGGGAAGTGGGGTCAGGGTCGCGCGGTCCCAGCGCCAGAGGCAACTCCCCGGCGGCGGCGGCGGCGGCGGGCGCGGGGCGGGGCGGGCACCGGAGGGGTCCCACTCACTCACAGGGAGCTGATGTCGCCGGGCACGATCCTGGGCACCCAGGAGGAGCCCACGCAGATGATGGACTCCTTGGTACAGCTGCAAGTGGCGGGGCAGCGCGCCAGCCGCCTCACCTGCGCGCCCGGCGGGATCAGGCACGCGGCGCTGAGCAACAGCAGCAGCCGCCCCAGCGCCCCGCCGCCGCCGCCGCCGCCCCGCCGCAGCGCCATGCCGGGTCCCCGCCGCCCGCTCCCCGCCCGGGCGCCCGCCGCCGCCGCAGACGCGGGCGCCGCTCGCTGCTCCGCCGCGGCCGCTGCTGGCTAGGACGAGGGCGCCGCGGGTGTGGGAGGCCGAGCCGCAGCCGAGCAGCATGCTGCCCGCCCCCCCCACTCGCGCCCCCCCCCCCCCCGCCCCGAGCCCGGGCTGCTGGGCGGCCGCCGCCGCTGCGCCCGCCGCACTCGCGCCCGCCTGACATCAGCACTCGCGCCCGCCGCCCGCTCTGGCCAATGGCTAATGCGGGCCGGGTGCCCGCCCCCCCCCCCCCCCCGCCGCGCGCCCCGCCCGGGCCCTCCCGACCCTCCCGGGAGCCGCGGGGCCCCGGGGAAAAGTTGGGTGACCTTGGGGGGAGGGGCGGCCCTGGACGGAGACGCCCCCCGTCCCCGGGGGCCCGGCTGAGCGGCGGGGGGCTCAGATCCCCGCAGTCCCTCCTAGGGCTCCAAAGGATTTGGGGGAGGCACTGGGCTCCTTTCATCTGGGACAAAGTGTGAGGCCCAAAAAAAAAAAAAAAAAAAAGTAGGAACCGGGGGAACTGCCTTGATTGCTGGGTGCTTTGAAGAGTACAGAATTTTGAGCAGCCTTTATTAATTTTCAAGAAAGGAAATGAAGTGAATTTGGCCATTGATTTCGGCGGGGTCTGGCGCGCGTTCCCGCAGCCCCCCCCCCCCCCCCGGGACGGGGAGGCGACTGAAGCCAGCCACCTTTCCCTGCTGAAGGAACGCAGGACCGAAAAGGGGCTGCAGCCGTGCTCGCCCCTGCCCGCTGCTCTGCGGCGGCCTACGGTCTTGCTACGGAGCTACAGAGCCTCCGAAAGTTTTCCCTGGCTCAGCAGGCTCAGGGGCAGTGCCCCACCGCAGTGAAAGGACAGACATCCGCGGAAACTGCGGGCCCCACACGTCCGAGGCGCCGTACATTTCGTCTTCTGCTAACTTTTGGAGGCAGGTCCCGTTCATCTCCCCAATTCACTGATGAGGAAACCGAGGCACAGTAGCTGGCTGGAGGTGGAGGAGTAAGTGGCTGGGCAGAGATGGGGATCAGAGCAGAATGCGGGCTGGGACCCTACGGAGCCCCTCTTCCACTCAGCACGTTTGAGACACTGAGCTTGAATCTTACCACAAGGTGGTGTGAACTGGGGAAAGCAGAGAAAATGGCCAGAACAGAACCAAAATAATGGCAAAGAGCCCAAACGGCTCAGGGTAGGGAATCAAGGGCACCATCCGGGCTACTAACCAAGGAAAATCATTTTGTCTGTTAAGAAATACCCGGAGGGGCGCCTGGCTGGCTCACTGGGTTGAGCGTGGGACTCTTGGTTTTGACTCAGGTCCTGATCTCAGGGTCCTGAGATCAGCCCTGCGTCCAGCTCAGTGATGAGCATGGAGCCCACTTAATATTTTCTCTCTCCCTCACCCTGTACCCCTCCCCGCTCTCTAAAATAAAATAAAATAAATAAATAAACTCTTCAAAAAAAAGAGAGAGAGAGATACCCAGAAAAGGCAGTATCTGCTGGAAAAGGTTACTACTATTGGAATCATCAGTCATCTATCCCTCACAAACATTTTGAGCACAAACTGGGCTGGCCACTGTGGGAGGGGACAAGGGGACAGGCCATAGGGATCCTCGGGGAGCTTGACGTCTAGCTGGGCGGACAGCCCTAAAGAAGTCATTCCACATGGTGCATGGGGGTTACGGGCTGACCAGAAGAAGTTCGGGAGCTGAGAGCGGGTTTGTTATAGGCAACTTCACCGACGGAGTTGGACATTCACTGCAGGGCACTCCCAGTTTGGCTGGGAGAATGATATCAGCCAGCATCCCTGTCCATCAGTTTACATTCATCACCCATCTAATTGCCACATCTGCTCCGAGAAGGGGGTCTTCCCATTTAATAGATGGGAAAATTGAGCTCAGAGCTATTCTTCTCTTGCCCAAGGTTACACAGGACCCAGCCAGGAGGATCCTACTCCGGAGCTGGCTGCTGAGTCAGGCGCTCTCTGCTGTGTTGGCAGGCCTTGCACAGAGGCTTTACCCAGCAGGGCCCGGTGCTGGGGGCTGAGGACACAGACTCTCGGGAGGGTGGCAGGCACGTGCACCCACCATCCAACACGGATGTGTGTCCTGCACGTCTGAAAGGCACCAGCCTTCGGAGGGATGGGCTATTGCTTTATAGAGAGGAGGGGTGAGGCTTTTCTAGCATGGTGCCTTCCTGCTGCCCCAGAAGAAGAAATTTTGGTTCTCAGCCCTGTGGAGTGGAGTGGAGGGTGTGGGGCGGGTAGAGAAGGCAAACCCTCGGTCCCCAGAACTAGACAGGTTTGGGTTAGTATCCCAGCCTGCCATGCACCGGCTATAGCTGTGGGCAAATGATAACCTCTCTAAGCCTTGATTTCCTCACCTGGTTGTATCCCCCCCCCACCCCGGGAGTTAATTGTGACCAAGAATGCAGTACCCAATGCCACACAGAAGGGACTGGGTATTTGTCCAGGGGTCTATGTGATCTTGCGGGCAGGGCAATTCCCAGCAAAACCCTGGAATTGGAGGAGAGAGATGGAGGCCAAGAGGGGCTCTAAAAGGAAATGAATTTTCCTGACTTTTGTGCCTCCACTTGAATCAAGGACAAGCACACAGTCTAGCACCGTGGTTTTCAATCAGCTGTGACACTTGGCCATGTCTGGAGACATTTTGGGTTGTCACAGTGGGGTGGCTGCTACCGGCAGCTGATGCGTCGAGGCCAGAGATACTATTAAACAGCATGCACAATGCACAGCAAAGAATGATCCAGACCAAAATATTACTGGTACCGAGGTGGAGAGACCCTCGCCTGGTGTCCTGGAAAGACCCTTGGCATGAGGAATTCCAGAAATTCAGATTCTAGGCCCGGCTTCACTCTTCATAAGCAAGCCTTTGGTCCTATCGGTCCCATTTCCAGCCTCTATCTTTTCATCTGTAAAATGGGGGGGTAATCAGACCTTCCTCTCTCTTTCCCCCCACCCTAAGTGAATGTGACGTATCACCATTATTATTGTCCTTACTCTCCCTAACCTGAAAAACTAGAAAGTTCCTGAGGGGAAGAACTCAGAAGGAAGACTCGGATAGGATAGCCGAACTGGCCGGGTTGAAATTTGTTTCGGCTCTGTTAGAGACACCAAGTGAAAGCTTGTGAATTATAAGGTGCAGTCTATAAATTAAGATATAAAAATGGACATGCAGATTACTTTGGTTTGGTTCCAGGATCTTCAGCAGTTAAAAAAAAAACTTAATAGACAATCAGAGAGACACAATCTGTTTCCAGGAAATAGCAAGAGTTTTTCAAAATGTAAAAATCCTCGTTCAGATGTACGCTTACTCCAGCTGTGTCTCCAGGACACGAGCAGGCGTTCCTACAGGGGCTGGAACGGCAGGGGTAGGCTGCTTAAAGCACTGTTCATTCATTCCCCTTCTCATTCAACCACCTGTCAGTTCCTTCTGTCAATATTGATTGAGAGCCCCCTAGGTGCTGGGTTGGACTTAGGCGTGAAGGCAAAGAAATGTCAAGAATGCCTCCCAGGGTTTAGTGGGAGCCAGTGGGGGATGGAGGCACCATTTCTTGAGATGAGAAAGCCAGGAAGAGCGAGTTTGGCTGGGAGAATGATATCAGCAGTTTAGTATTGGAGATGTTGACTCTGAAATGTCCAGGAGACACCCATGTGCAGCTGAGTTGGCAGCTAACTGACCGGTGGGGATAGCAAGGAAATGATGGGGGTGGGGGGTGTATGGGAAATCTTCATACCCTGGATGAAACATTGATTCTACCCCGGTAAGCCCTCAATGTCTTGTTGGTTGGTTGAAGGAATGAATGAGTGAATGAATGACATTTTGGACATACAGACGTTCAAGAGAAAAATCTCTCTCAGGTGCGATCAGCAAGGAGCACCAGAAATCTTACAGAAGAGTGTGAATCTAAGAATATTGCAGTTTGGGGATCTATTTTTAGACCAAAAATAATCTTCAAATCCTAAGCCCAACTGTAGATCTTGTAAGAATCTCAGAGACCTCATCATGCTTCTAATCCCCCTTCCCTATTTCCGACCAAACTCCACCCCCACCCCCAGCTGGTCTTCTCCCCAGAACCGTAAGCTTTGGAAAGCCTTCCCTAATGTCAAACACTTCTGGCCTGGAGTCTTGCTGTAACAACGGAAGAAAAATTATTCATCCAAACCTCAAAAGCACTTGGTTTGAATGGCTACAAATTGGATTCCCTGGAGTAAACATTTTTAAAAGTCTCATTCATTTTTTTTTTAATCAAAGAGTGTGCCAATCCCTCTTTGACCACCTCACCCCAATATGCCACTCTTGGGGTTGGCTGCTGGTCAAATGTGGATGCCATTTCTGCCTTCCGCCATTTCCTCTCTTGATAAACTCAGTGGGTGTTGCAAGTCTGGAATTCCTTCCAAATTTGCCCCGATTGGCCTCTTGAATTCAGTTGTGTTCTCGAAGGGCTGCCTATGGATATCTCATACGGGTTCCTGAATCAGCAGAAAGGTCCTCAGGACCCTGCCCATGGTTTCTGGTGACCCTTGCCGCCTCTGCCCCTACACCAGTGTGAAATATTTCTCACCCAGCATCCGCTGCTCCTTCTCATGACAGTAGGTCACGACTTTGCTTTGGAGGGAATGACTCCTTCTCAACATTCAATCCATGTGACTTACTTGATCAATACTTCCATCTCCTGTTGTTCATGTGAAGACTAGAGCTTTCCAGAACATTCCGTTCTCCCAGTCTCAGTGACTGGCTTAGGGTAGAACACATCATCCAGCTGGAGCAATCAGGGCTAACAAAATCCCTTGTCAGGGCTTTTGCTTGAAATGTCAAGAAGCAGTCTCGCTTTCCCACTGGCCTAGGAGTTGTGGTCCCAAGCCTGAGAACCTGCATATCCTGAGAAAGACATCCACGTGGGGGAAGAGATCTCAATGGCATTGTTTGGGCATCTGATCAACCCATCCCATTCAA